TTTTTTTGCTGTGTTTGTAGCTCGGTGCAGAGCCGTGAGGTGCTGGGCTGGGGATACGGGTGCATGTGTGTGTGTGTGTGTGTGTGTGTGTGTGTACTCACATGCACTCCGCATGTGTGTGTGCATACACGCGTGCCTAACGATGTGTGCGTCCAGCTGCGTGCCTGTTCTTGGCCATGTGCGTGTCCATATCCACCCGCAGACACGGACAAGGGGCTCCCAGCCCTCTCGCTATCTGTTCACACGCACATGGAAGATGAAAGATAGCTGGTTGTTTGCTAAGCGCGAACACAAGCGGAGATCCTGTAAAATGTAATGCAATAATGACGTATGAGGCGCAAGCGAGGCAGGGGATTTGAGCTAATCATAAAAGGCAGAGGAGCTTTTATTTATTTATTGCTTCGAGTGGTCATTTCAGTTGGGTCTGGAAAAGATATGTCAAGTCGTGTACACAGAATTGAGGTGGTTGCTGGGGAAGGGAACAGAGAGTAAAGGCAGACGACGAATCACTTTTAAGTTACTGTAGGCTTTGAAGGGACAATGCGTGTCTGTTATTTTAAAAGGTTTCTCTCTCTCTCTCTCCCTCCCTCTCTCTCTCCCTCTCGTTTTCTCCTTCTACCACACAGTTTCCTGGCAACTGTTTACGTCTAGACTAGTGACATTTTCTCTAAGAAAGTGAGATGCCCAGTGACTAGGTTAAAAGGGGGGGGGGGGAGTTTCTCTTCTATTGACTAGCAACAGCCATGATTAACTTGTTCCATGTTGCAATTCCCAACACTCTGCCGCAGTCGCCTTCCGTATTACATGAGACATGCTTGGATTTTCCTTTCCTTCTCTCCGTTTACCTAATATTGCTTTTCTCTTTCCCCTTCCCTTGGTCTGAGGATTTGCTTTCGCGGAAATAGTGCGGCGTTGATGCATTTTGACTACTCCGATGTCCTTATCCCCCATGCTCTCTCCTCCTCCCCCCCTCCCCTTTTTTGTTAATAATTAGCTGCACTCTTTAATGGAACAATGGTAGATTATTATTGCTTCTTTTCAAAGATCCCATTAACAAGGTTATTATGCACTGCACGGGAAGTCAGGTAAATTAAACTTAAATTGCTGGAAATTAAGTTTAAAACGGTTATGCGCGGAGAGAGCGAGCATTTTTTTACACCTTCAGGGGTCATTGTTTTAAATATGCCAACATTGCAGTGCATACATGACTTTTGTTGGGCTTGTTTTTTTCTTTTTCCGATGTGATTTTGGGTGTGCATGAGCATTACGGGGGGGCGCTTCTCTGCTGCCAGTGGCTTTCTATGTCTGAATCCAGGAACAAGGGTTTTTTTCAAGTGTTTTCATGGTGTTTGCTTGACTTTATGGCTGCAATAAGTCCCTTGGTAGGGAAACCCCCGCTGTGTTCTCACTTCAGAAGGATCGGGAATTCCAGCTACACATGAAAAAGAGTTTCATTTTTTATTGGAACCAACTGCACTGAACTTTCTACCAAGTTCTTCAGCCGGTTTAGCTTTCGCACAAGCAATGCTCTGTTCTGTTTGCATTTCGAAATATTTGGGTGTTGTTTTAATCCCCTCATCTATCTGCCTGGCTCTGCTTTGTGGGGTTGGCGTTTGCTAGCCAGAAAAAGCAAAGGGACAAAAAGTAGAGCCCTCCTCGGCAGAGAGCTGTGAATGTACATACTGTAAATACGTCTCTTTATCGTTATTTATACCCTGCCGGTTGAGTGATGTCAGTCAGGAGAGGAAAGACGGATCCTCTGTATAAAATTAAACGTGTTATACCACCTTCTGGTGTCTCTCGCGAGTTCCCCAGTTTATTGCTCCTCTAGCAAACCCTGCGACTCTTTTTAAGTAGATGGGGCCAAAGACTGAATAAAGATATGGCAATGGATATGGTCAAAGACGGGTCTAACTTAAGGGCTCCTGTGTAAGCTTGCTCCTGAGGCTGTCTGCTCGGGCTGTGTCTGCATCCCTCCTCGGCTTGGCTAGCGCTAGAGACGTCCAAAGAAAATACATTCGCCAAATCAGTCTCTTTCGGACTTTAGCAAGGGAGGCAGGATAGTCTCTGTTAAACAGCTATAATAATAAGACTCTATTTAAATATCTTTTTTTTCCATTGTAGAGCTATTAATACGGAAATAGAAACCACCTCGGTGATAAGCATACAGTTCTCTGAGATTTAGTGCGGTTTAAGACCTTTGCTCGTATTTACATGTATCATAGGTGGCAAATCAATTAGACTGCGGGTCTGACCCGAAGGAAGATGAACACTATGACAGGCTTTTTTGTCATACTGGGAAACAAGTTTTCTTCTTTCCTTTTTCTCCCCCAATAACCACCTATACGGCCAAGAGAAGCTTTACCCTGCTTCTAAGTGGGAAGACACGTTGTTTTTGTCTACGGCTTGTCTAAAATATCAGCAATAAGCAATTAGCAAACGGCCAGTGTCAATTAGTGAGTTTTATTTCCTTAACAAATGTCGACAGTCAAACTCTGCAACAAGTCTGCTTTAGCCGTAAATATACTAGAAAAAGCAATATTTTACTAAGGTAAAATTTGTAGGGAGGAGTATATTTTTCGAACTATTTCGAGGGATTTATTTTTAGATCAATAATCAGAACTGAGAGAAAATATGATAGAAAACATTTTCAGCGGTTGTACTCACGCATTGAATTATCAGGACTTCCTATTTCTTAGCCCAAAATTTGTATGCAGTGCTAATCATGCCAGATAATCGCTGTTTTTGCAGTTCTATAAATATTGCGTAACTCTCTAAACAAATATATGAGTTATTCGGCTCCTGCAAAGCATCTAAGTTCAGTCTCTCATCGGATTCTGTTTTTTTCTTCTTCTACAGTATTTGTCCTCTTTTAATCTCACTTTTTTTTTCCTTGCATACATACCAATAAAGCTGATCTACGTAAGTTTGGGTCCATTCCATACACAAAGGGAAACTCTGCAAGAACAAATATAAGAGATATCAGTCAGAGAGGGGGTGGAGGATGGAAAACTACTTCCTTTACATGTTATTTCCTTGAATTATAAGGATTACGTTTCAGTCGAAATGTTCACTGCAGCCGTGGCATGAAACAATCTTGGCTTTGCTGCTGTAAACATGATGTTTAAAATAAATTACCTCGTAATAAGATACCAGTTTCGTAGATACTTAGAGCTCCGTCAGAGAGAACCGCATTGGCAGCTTTACAGTGACCATGTAATAAATGTAATTCTAGATTTGTAGCACATACAGCCACAGACTGAAGTATAGGGGAGTGTGTGCTATAAGGCGTGTCATTTCATTGCATATAATACCCAACAGACAGATGGCTACAAATTCGGACAGCAAACAAATCCTTTATAAAATGCAAATGTTCAATGAACAGTCCTATTTTTAATTAATTTTTTTTCCTTTAAGATCGCTCTTATTTTTCTCATGTTAAAAAATAAAAGGGGGGGGGGAGGAAGATGGCATATTGAGATTCCACTCTACCTTGAACAAATGGGGATGCACCAGGTAGTGCAGAACATATCCCCATCTGGGAAATCCGGGCAAAACCAAGGTAGACGGACCCCAGCCTGAAGGGTAGCTTTTAGGATGATAGAGAACTGCTCAGGACTTCCGAGTTTATCCCTTATAGCGTTTTAACCTGGTAAAAAGTAGAAATTTTGTAATGGAGACAGGCTCAAGGAGGGAAGGCGGGAACGCACCAGCGCAGGATCTCTGCGCACTTTCCAGGCACAGACCCACCACGCCACAAGCTCCTCTCTCTTAAAAAACTCTCGATCGGTAACAATCAATAATCTCAGTTCTTGACCGTAACCCAAGGCTTCCTTTTAGCCATAAAAGGTCGGGTATAGATTTGGTATTAACAAAAAAACGCAAGAGGGCACAATGCGGTACATGACTCCAGAGCAGATCGGCGTTTAGCAGAGGATAAAGGAAATACTTCGATTTTCCATTTATCTCCCGGATATGCAGCTTTTGCAGAAAAAAAAAAGGTGGGGAAAAAAGATAACGTAAAGGAAAGGCGAATGTTCGGTTTATTTAAAAGAGAATGCTAACCTATGGTAATTAGATAAATATGAACAAAAATAAGTTGTCAAAACCGGTTTATTCTCCTGTAGCAAATCTGAGTTAATCAAACAAACGGAATCTCCTCTTTGCAAAAGTTCACAAAAAAAAACTTTTTCTTTTTTTTTTTAACTGTAGAAAACTAGCAGATATTTTGGGGTGCTTTGCAGACACCAGGGGTCGAAATTTTCCAAATACAAATAATTAACTTTTATCCTACTTACCCCAGGTATTTGTATACATTACGTGTGTGTAAATACATATGCGTGCACACCACCGTGCACATACAGAGCTCTCACACACCCCCGTGCTGAGGTCCGGGGGAGGGGGGGGCGTTTATTTATTTATGACGCTCGGAGCGCGCCGGGAATGTCTTTCCGCAGATATTATGTATTTGGTTAAGGGGGTGCATTTCTGTTGTTTAAAAGGGAGGGAAAAAGGGGGTGGATGGTTTGTTCTTGGGGTCCCTGGTGCAATCTCAGCTCCTCATGGGTGCTATTTTGCAACCTCAGGCGCCTGCTATTGGTCAGCCCATGATCAGATGGTTGTATTTCCTTGTGTCCCTCGCTGGCACCACGCCATCTCCCTTCAGCTAAAACCCAATCTCCGATATACTACTAATAGCTAAACCACTTGGACTATAAAACACAACAAATCATAAAGCCGGGAAAGGACGGCAGGCTCCTTCCAATGAGTTCTTATTTTGTCAACTCGACCTTCCCGGTGAGTCTGGCGGCGGGGCAGGAGCCCTTCCTGGGACAGATCCCGTTATATCCCTCGGGCTATGCGGATCCTTTGAGGCACTATCCCACCACCTACGGAGCCACGGGCGTGCAGGAGAAGGGGTATGCCTCCTCTGCCTACTACCAGCAAGGCAACGGAGCCTACAGCCGCGGCTCCGCGTGTGACTATGGGGCCGGCGGGTTTTTCCGCGAGAAGGACCCTGCGTGCGCCCCCTCCAACCTGGACGAGGTGCCCTTCGGCCCCGAGCCGCGCAAGTCGGACTGCGCGCAGAGCAAAACTGTGTTCGGAGAGAGCGAGGAGCAAAAGTGTTCCGCCCCGGTTTACCCCTGGATGCAGCGGATGAACTCTTGCAATAGTGAGTTTACTCTTTTACAGAAATAAATAAATCAATCTCCTCCCCCCCTTTCTTATTTGTTACCGCCAGAGTGAGCGAGCGCGAGCGAGCGAGCGAGAGGAGCAGGAATAAGGTTCACTTTAGAGCCCAAACTTCCAGCGGGGAAGTTAGGCACCACTAGAGACTCCAAGTGGCTTCTGACACGCACCAAAACTTCGTGCCGCTAAAGTATTTTCCCCTTTCGCCCAGTTTCCTCCTTCACAGCCATAAAGATAAATAAAAATAAAAAGTTTGTCCCGTATTTAAACCCGAATACAGTATTTCTCCTTTTCCCCTTTTTTGCACATTCCAGTTTGCATGTCACTCAGTTGCAACCATTTGTCTCTGTCTTTCCCTCACATGCACAGAGAGATATCTTTTATAAATCAGATCTGGATGACTTTACACACGCACGTATCCACCCCCACAGGCAAATCCATCTCTAGCTAGCCAGCCGATCTGGAGTTAAATAATATAAAAGTGTTTAAATATTTGAAAGGAGAGAGCTACATTTTTAATGAAACTCGCACATAATGAAAAGTCTGCCTGGGGAGAATTTTTTTCCCCTGGTGATATATGACTTCTTTAAGTGCTGTTTCCGCAATCGGGCGGGGGAAAAAAAAGCAAAAAAAAAAGAGGCTCACCACCCTCTTTCCCATGTTTAGATGCATTTGTTGCCTTTTAAGTTCCAAATTGATGTCCATTAGCGCAGGGACATAAAGTGTTGTGTCCTCTTTAATGTAGAGTTTGGGCAGATCGATTCACTTCATTATTGCTTAAATGCTCAGATCTATTACAGTTGCCGGTAGGGTGGAAAATAGCAAAGGAGGTGGCGGGGGAGAGGAAGAACACCTTGCGATTTTTCATAATGGAATAAGATAGATCTCGCCCTGTCTCCCCAGCCCCGGCTGCAGGCTCTGGCAGGCTCAGCTTTAACCCTCCGCAGGAGCGGAGGCTGCGGGGAGCCCGGCGCCCGCGGGGTCCCTGCCCGGCCGGCCGGGATGCGCC